AAAAAAAATCCCGAAGAAGCAAAAAACCTAAAATAAAAAAGCACCGAAGGACGAAAGACACAAATTCTATAAACGCAGCTGTTCCTAAATTCAGGGGCGGGGGCGTTCTTACAGCACAAGGTGTCGACAGCTGTTCGGGAGTAGAGTAATTTTAGGGAGATGACCCACAGAAGTGAAGCCATATGGATGGTTCGGGGGGCTGTGAGAAAAGCAGGATCCTGAAATTAGTTTTTTATTGTAAAACGTGTTTACACAGAACAGCAAGTAATCTTCACTGTGTTTCCTGTGTTTAGTATTTTTGAAACACCAATTTAGAGGTAATTTTAGCAAGTACTTATTAGAATAGTTGATTGTTTTTTATGCTGTTGATAGATTGTCGGAACGGAACTGTATAGAAATTGTCACTAAACTGATTGCGGAAAAACAGTTGGAAGTGGTGCACACACTTGATGGAAAAGAGTATGTCACTCCAGCACAGATTAGTAAGGAGATCCGGGATGAGCTTCACGTTTGTGGTGGTAAGTGTGGCATTTGCTTTCTTTCTCCGGATTTGGAAGTTAATTTTGAAGACCACAGAAAGAATTTAAGTTTTCTTCAATACTCTTAGTCTTGCAAAAAAAAGTGAGCTTGCTTCGTATTGCTTCATCTACACATGAATTCACCTACTATTATTTTATTTTCACTTCAGATCTGTATTAAGCTTTTAGGTAAGAATATCAGATATGTTACGTGGATCATTTTCACCCTTGCAGAATTTCTGAGGTAGAAGTGGTCTAAGAACCCTTTTACGGCAAATTTGGCATTTTAGTATGGTTAAGTATCAGGCCCAGATGTTTGGTCTTGAGTCAGAGTTTCAGAGTTTCTCCCTTCACATCATTAATAATAATAACATTTTAAAATTGTCATTGATGGGTCTTTTATTTTGCCAGTTTGCTTTGTAAAATCTGACTTAGATGCATAAGAAAACAAATATGCTTCAGACTGCTTTTTGTCAACGGTTTTGAGAAGACAGTATATTATACTTTTAGTTATATTTAAGGGTGAATTTCACGGCATCGTATGTTTTGGAAAATTAGCTCTCTTGCTATGTTCATACAGATTAGTCGTTTTCTTACGATTACCACAAGTATGCCTCAGTTTGTGTTGTGCCGTTGTGTATCATATCAGTATGACAGCTTGAATTGAATTGAAAGTTGCTAGTTTTCAGTTGTAGCATCATGCAAAGGCAGCAAGTTTTGGTGATCTCGGTTTTGATACTCAGCGGTCAAATCCAGATCAGCATCAAGGCAAAAACTAATTGCGAGGGAATTTGAACGGTGATTTTTATTTCTGTGGTTTCTGCGTTGGATTGTCAGCAAGGTAGAACAGTATGGGGTATCTTGCACTGACCACTTGTGATTTCTGTGATTTGGCAATATATAAAGCTGAAGTTGGTTTAATTGATTTACAAAAAAGTAAAAAGAAAGTAAAAAGAAATATTTTATACACCATGGACTATGCTATATTCTAAATTTGTTCAAACATTTTATGTACTAAAAGTATATTTGTACTTTTTTTTGAAGGTCGAGTAAACATTGTTGACTTACAACAGGTAACTTTTTAGTAATAAAAACCTATATACTTCTTTCTTTTCTTCACCATGTATATTGTAAATATGGAGTTTATCAGTTACACTCCAGCTAAGTTATTTTTTTAAGAGAGAACAGAGTTTATGAAGAGCTTATAGCTTATGTCAGAGTACTGCACATTACTTAATCCTTCTATTTGCTCCTTTATTGAAAGGTTCTCTCTGCTTAATGATAATCTAGGACCTCTGAAATCACCACTGAAATATACAGATTTTCTTTATGAACTCTTTAAACTGGGAGGGCAAACAGAAAATAAATATGTTTCCCATTTAAATTTAAAGCTGCAGAAGCATGCATAATTAACTTTGCATGCATCTCTGAATCTTCCCTCTTCATTAATCTCTAGTCTCCACTAATCTTTATCCTCCAGTAGTCTTCCTCTGTGACTAATTTTCCCTTCTGGCTTGAGTAAAATTACTTGCAATCAGAAAACCTTTTTGAAAGAGACTTTAGTATTTTCCGTGCATAGCTTTCTGAAATTTTTTATTATATAGGTTTCTTTTAACCTTGTCACAGTTGCAAAGAAGCTTTTTGCCCTAAAGCATCAGTGCTTTATTCCAAATCACAGATTAACTGTGTACGTATGCAGTAGTAGGAAAAAATAAAAGCAGCTTTCCTCAAGACATAGGAATGTATAATATCTCAATGTTTGAGAATTAATTTCAATTTAAAGTTCTGATAACAGGTTTTGTTGCTGGTTTTTTTAGGTAATAAATGTGGACCTTCTGCACATTGAAAACAGAGCTAATGACATCGTTAAATCGGAAAAAAGTATTCAGCTTGTGCTGGGACAGCTTATAAATGAGTGAGTACTTTCAGGAGCAACATGCATAATTCACGTCTTTTATTTTTTAAAACGCAGACTAAAAGTGATGGCCAGACTTTGTTGCTTCTGAAGTGAAATACATATTTCTTGACTGCTACTAGGGATTGGTGGTGATTAGTGCTTCTTTTCCAAAAGGTGAGGCCTATCTCAGCAGAGCATCCAGTGAATCCATGGAGCAAAGACCTTACTGAATGTCTCTGCCCAGTGTCCTGCAGTTAAGAGGCTTCCTTTCTTACCCAGTGTTTTTGCGAACAGGAGCCACATCTCATTTGTTCTGTGGCTTTGCTGTCTGCCTCAGCTATTGACAAACCCTCTCGTTTTTTCCCTCCTCTTTCTTTACTTCACAAGCCTAAGATGTATGAGCAAGTTATCTCATGGCATTCGGCACACTAACAGCCACTGAGGAATACTCTTATGGGTTTGTCTCTATTATTGATCGTGCTGCAGGATTTGTTCTTGGCAAATAATGTGAAGTTCCTGGCTCTCTTGAAATAATTAAGACCTATCTTGCTCACTGAAGCCCTTTTCTGAGTTACATTGATATACAATGTTTTCCTGTTTTTGCTTTTTGACAGTTTCATACAGGCAGTTAAATGACCAATTTTAATACTAGCTACCCGGTTAGCAAGCTTTTAAAAAAACCCACATGTTCACTGACATCATTTTCCTTTATTCATTTAAAATAATTTGGACATTATTTTTGCAACAGAAAGAAGTATAGTGCCAGGTCAATTAGTAGTTCAGTATGTGGATAACAGGTTGATCTTGAAAGTCACACTTAATGTGTTGGGATTTTTTTTCTTGTTTTGAAATAAGGAGTTACCTGAATCAATTAGCAGAAGAAATAAATGATAAACTGCAGGAAACTGGCCAAGTGACAATATCGGAACTCTGCAAGGCGTATGACCTTCCGGGAGACTTCCTGATACAGGTGATACAAGCTACCAGCCTAACAAATGTAGAACTGGTTGTGTTGACCTTCTTTTGTTATCTTTACAATATCCATGGCTTTAATTGTGATGAGCTGCTTGTCATTCTAAGCAGAAAAACATTAGATACATAAAGGTTGCAGTGTAAGGGGTATTGCTGGAGTGGGTCCAGAGGAGGGCCACGAAGATGATCAGAGGGCTGGAGCACCTCTCCTAGGAAGACAGGCTGAGAGAGTTGGGGCTGTTCAGCCTGGAGAAGAGAAGGCTCTGGGGTGATCTTATTGCAGCCTTCCAGTACTTAAACGGGGCCTACAGGAAAGCTGGAGAGGGACTTTTCACAAGGGCATGTAGTGATAGGACAAGGGGCAATGGATTTAAACTGAAAGAGGGGAGATTTTGATTAGATATAAGGAAGAAATTTTTCACTGTGAGGGTGGTGAGGCACTGGAACAGGTTGCCCAGAGAAGTTGTAGATGCCCAATCCCTGGAAGTGTTCAAGGCCAGGTTGGATGAGGCTTTGAGCAACCTGGTGTAGTGGAGGATTTCCCTGCCCATGGCAGGGGGGTTTCAACTAGATGATCTTTGAGGTCCCTTCCAACCCTAACCATTCTATGATTCTGTGATTCTATGATCCACAGATTAAGGTTGATGTTTGCCTTTTCACTGTTGGGCAGAATTTCTTCAGAATCTTTATGACTGTTAGGAACAGATTAGTTTGATAGAAGATCTGAAAATTTCTTTGATTGAAATATTAGAGAGAAGATGTAGGGGAAATTTCATCAGTCTCATGAGCTACTTAGGAAGCAGAAATAAAATGGTAGAGACCTTTTGGTTTATTCAGAAAAGGTAAAATAAATGTTCATTTCTAGAAGCTGAAGCCAGACATTCAGAGTAGAAACAAAAAACTGTTTACCTTTGTTAGTGACTATTGTAGCGTTTAAAAGGATTAGGGAGAATTCTCTTAGCATTGTTGACTTTCATTCAAAATTGGATTTTGTCTGGAAGATGTTTTTTTTCAAAGGGTAATCCTGTGTCATGTGTTAGGTGAAGAGTCAGGTATCACAGACAACCTTCTTGACTCTCAATTTATGAACAGAATTCTTCTAATATTCGTTGCATGATCAGCTTCTAAAAAAAATTTATAACATATGAAAATTATTACATGATTTCTCTGTGTTTCCTAGGCAATATTTCCTGGGTTTAGTTCACTTCGCAAGGATGCATTTTTTTAAACTGTTTGCACTTCTTTCGTGTTTATTGTTGCTTATTTTTGTCTTCACTGTTTGAAAAAATGAATAGTGAATTCCTGTGCCACTGGTTTGTACAAAATTAATACAAAGGTTAAATCTTAGTCTTCATTGTGCATCTCCAAACCATACTTATTTCTTTTGCAAAGTTTTCTTTCATCATTGGATACACATATCTCTGATGGAAGAAAGCATTGTTAGGAAAGCTGAATTCCCTGAAGTTTGGAGTGTGGGCCATAATGGCATCAACATACATGTAGTATGACACATTCTCTATACACCTAAATAATTTCCACTTTTAGTCCTCATTTCTGAATATTTTGTCTTAGGAAAACTAATTTGGTGATCTGTTAATACGGATTTTTTGATTAATTTTTGTTCAACATCGCTAATATACAATTTCAGCAGTCATCCCAGCTTCTATTTACAGGCGTTATCCAGGCGTTTGGGTAGAATTATTCACGGACAGCTAGACCAGGAAAACCGTGGGGTGATTTTTACAGAAGCCTTTGTGTCCCGGCATCGAGCACGCATTCGTGGTCTCTTCACTGCAATCACTCGGTAAATTTCAACACCAGCAAACCACGTATTAAAATATTTTTACCATACGTCTTTATGGACCAAATTCAGTTGCGATTGAAAAAGACAAGAAAATAAAGACCTGTGGATAGGTTTTTTTTCAAGTGTAGTTCGGTTCCTGGGGTGAAATATTAGACTCACGTTTTTGAAATGGGTACCTCCTTTTGGAAGGAGAACAAGGACAGTATAACAATGTACAATATCCAACATATTTAAGTGTTTTGGCTGAAGAAAATGTTAATCAGTAGTTCTTTCATTTGCTTGGAGAGTATCTGTCTTCATTGTCGTTCCACCACTGCCCAGTCAATTACATATTGATGTCTACCTACTACACGTGATTATAGGTGATTTTTTCTTATTAAATCAATAGTCTTCCGTGTCAATTTGTATGAAGCGAAAAAACTTGAGACAGCAAAAGTTTCCTTACAATAATTACTGTAGCTCTGTTATAAGATAGAACTTCATAATTCAAAATTAAAACCCCGTAAACTGTATTAAACATCAGTGTAGCACTCTGGGGCTAAGACGCTGCACAGTTCTGTCCATCTGGAGTAACCTCTCTTATTTCTAGATTCTCCACATCGATTTCAGGTCATTAACTTACGTTGGTTTGTTTTTCTTTTTTCCAAGGCCTACACCTGTAAGTAACTTGATCACTCGGTATGGATTTCAAGAACATTTGCTTTACTGTGAGTTTCATTCAGACTGTTTTGTATTTTTGTTAGTTAATCCATAGATTCTCCATTACTAGAAGGATGCTTTCAAAGAAACATTTTAGTATATGGCTTTAATTCTGGAATGAAGAACCATGTGTTTCTCTCTAGTATAAAAAGGGTTAAACCTTTTGTGCTCTCCATAAATGAAGAGAGATTCTCTGCATCTAAAGCAATAAAAGCATATGTTGATGAAATGCCTCTGGGGGCAGAATGATGCAAGAAGTACAGTACTCGTTTTGTCATCTGTTTCGTTATTTGCCCTTAGCTACTGGCAGTTTTATCAGTGGAGCACACAAAAGGGGACAGATTTTATGTAGCCAAATGGCATTAACTGCTCTGGATTTTGTTTACTGACTTTTCTCTGTGATAGTGGAGGCAGAGCTTTTGTTGTGCTCTTAGTTAAATGTCTTTATATGCTGAGAGATAAAGCATATCCTTAAACTGTTTGCTTTCATTTTCTACAGTTTCTTTCTAAAATAGAGATTCATAAAGATTTTCTATCCAACTGCTGAAACTTTGAGGCAGTACTTAATTGTTTTTCGCTTCTAATGTTGCAGCTTTTCTTTTGATGTCCAAAATGCTGCTTCAAGCATCATTAGTCTTTTATGCTGGTCTTCAGAATCCTTTAATGGTTTTCGATCTCTTCTCTTGAAAGTTAATATTTCTCTTTTGTTTTATTGGGTCTTTTTGCCTTCAGGGCATTGCACACTTGAGCTCCACAATAAAGTCTTTCTGCTTACCTTCTTGTTCTTTGTGGCAAGCTTATTCATTAGAAATGGAAATCTTAACATTTAAATAAAATCATATAAACACTCTGCTTTCACATAATCAATTTAAGTTTTCCTCTTTTTTCAGGATGTGCCATCCAGGTATTCCTAGATTAAAAGGAAAATTTGTTAAACTGCTTTGTAGTAACGTTGCAGTACTTGAAAAATTTCAGTGTGTTTACAGTCTTTTTCAAACACGTCCTGCGTGTACATGATCATGTATTGCTCATTGTACAGTGTTAATATGAATTGAAATTCTAGTGTTTTCCTGTCATCACTAATCATCATGATGGCTAAGTGTATTTCCAGTACTTTCTTTTGCTTTTTTTTTTTTCAGTGATTTTGTTCCTCTTTTTCTTTACTTTTTATTACTGTACTTCATCTCCTTTGCAGTTTCATTAAGTTTCAGAGAGCTTTTTACTCACTGCCAGAGTGCATTTGATTTTATATTATCCATTTTCTGAGATACCATTTCAATGCCATAAATGCTGGAAACTTGAAAAATATCTTTTTAATTATGTAGATTATGCTCTTTGGGTTTTATGTTTATCATCATTAGCAATATGTTTTAAAGTAGTCTTTTTCAGTTTTGAGTCCCTTCTAGAAAAAAAAAAGTAACTTCAGTGTACTATACCACCACCTCAGGTTACCCAGAGAGGTGGTGGATGCTCCATCCCTGGAGACGTTCAAGGCCCGGTTGGATGAGGCCCTGAGCAACCTGATCTAGTTGGAGATATCCCTGTTCCTTGCAGGGGGGTTGGACTAGATGACCTTTGAAGGTCCCTTCCAGCCCTAATGATTCTGTGATTCTATGATTTGAATAATTTGCAGACACCTAATTATTTAATCAACACAGTGTTGCACAAGATAAACAACAGTCTTTAGTTCTATCACATAGCTGTGCTGCTGTTCATGTTAAGTTGACATGAAATTATGACAGAAAATAATTAATTTTACAAATCATAGAATAGTTTGGATTGGAAGGGACCTTAAAGATCATCTAGTTCCAACCCCTCGGCCATGGGCAGGGACATCATCCACTACATCAGGTTGCTCAAAGCTTCATCCAACCTGGCCTTGGAACACTTCCAGGGATGGGGCATCCACAGCTTCTCTGGGCAACGTGTTCCAGTGCCTCATCACCCTCACAGTGAAAAATTTCTTCCTTATATCCAATCTAAATCTCCCCTCTTTCAGTTTAAATCCATTGCCCCTTGTCCTATCACTACATGCCCTTGTAAAAAATCCCTCTCCAGCTTTCCTGTAGGCCCCCTTTAAGTACTGGAAGGCTGCAATAAGATCACCCCAGAGCCTTCTCTTCTCCAGGCTGAACAGCCCCAACTTTCTCAGCCTGTCTTCCTAGGAGAGGTGCTCCAGCCCTGTGATCATCTTCGTGGCCCTCCTCTGGATGCGCTCCAGCAGCTTCATGTCCTTCTTGTGTTGGGGACTCCAGAGCTGAATGCAGTATTCCAGGTGGGGTCTCACGAGAGCAGAGTAGAGGGGCAGAATCGCCTCCCTGGACCTGCTGGCCACGCTTCTTTGGATGCAGCCCAGGACACAGTTGGCTTTCTGGGCTGCCAGCGCACATTGCTGGCTCATGTTGAGCTTCTCATCCACCAACACTCCCAAGTCCTTTTCCTCAGGGCTGCTCTCAATCCATTCTCCGCCCAGCCTGTCCTTGTGCTTGGGATTGCCCCAACCCACATGCAGGACCTTGAACTTGCCTGTCAAGGTCCCTCTGGATGGCATCCCTTCCCTCCAGTGTGTCAACCACACCACTCATCTCGGTGTCATCTGCAAACTTGCTGAGGGTGCACTCGATCCCATTGTCCATGAATGAAATGAGAAACTGTTTTAAGTTAAAACGCTGATTAGAAAGCATAATGAAAGCACAGATGTTCTTCATTTCTGAATGTTATGTTGCTGACGTGGGACAGGCATGGAGGGATGCTTATCATCTTTGCCAGACTTTGACAGAGACCTAAGAGGACACTGCAAACTACTCAATCACCTTTAAAAATAAATGTGAGATTACGATAGTTCTGCAAAGGTCCTGTGGTCTTGTTTTAAAACAGGACTATCTAGGGATAATTGTAGCAGGGGCTGCGAAATCTATGAAAGCACCATCCCTGCCCATGAGTTTTAGAACTGGGCTTGAAATAATACAAAAATTAATTGATGTCTTCATTTCTCCTCCTTTCTCTGTAAAAACTCTGATTTATTGCTAGTGCTCCACAAAATGATTAGAAACCTATGAAAGTTTTACTCTTTTTCCAAAAACTTTGAATAAACACAAGTTTTTCTTCTGGAATGAGATTTTCCTGTGTACGTGAGCTAAACTTCCATATGCTGTACTAGGCATGTTGAAATGTTGACGAGTACTCGTATTTAATGAGGAAGGAGCCATACCATATGATAACCTTTAGTGTTCTGTTCCAGGGTAAAATCTGTCTTTCAATGAAATAGAAATCAATACAAACTGAAGGTAAAAAAGTCATGTAGCAAAGCTCTAGAAATTAGCAGAGCTTGGCAGTTGACGTCACTGATTTTCTTTAATATATCTAGTCACTTAAGAAAAGGCAAAAGCAGAACATAGAAGGCAAATCAGATATTCCTGTGCACCTTTAATGGATTGAAAATACCTTATTTAGCATCAAGAAAGGGCTTAGTTTTTGGGTACTACCAGTTACCAATAGGTTCTTTGTCAGCAATATTTGTGCATTATCAGGAGGTTATTATTGGCAACTGTGTGAACATTGTAAACCACGAAGATGGTCACTGGTAGGTGCTCACATTTATGCACTTTAGGTAGTAATTTTTCATGTCATTTTAGTGTGTTCAGATCTCTCTTTTTTCCATCTTGGTTATCATGCAAGCAGTGAATTCTAAGTGAACATTATTAATAAAATGCTCATGTATTTTGTTATCTGGCCAGAGAAAGATTCTTTTATGACTACACTTTCTAAATTAAAAGCTCCGAGTGTCCAGGTATACGTACAATAAAAAGTGTTTTGATCCTGCCATTGTGGCTCACTCTTTTGAAGCATTGTATGATTTCCAGAGCTTTTATCAAGACATTCTCGTAAGTATTAAAAATAATTTATAGAACTCGAAAACGTTACACTAGAACAAGCACAGTTCCGTCTTAATTTTTCTTTCATTTAAAAACAACTAATGGGTGGGGAAAAAAGAAGAAACAAACCAAGGAAAATACTTGCTGTGTTTTGATTAATGGATATATCAAAGTGGAAAACATTGCTTCGTTTATTTTCTTCATGTAGCTGTGCTAGAAGAACTTGTTAACACTGGTCGTCTAAAAGGCACCGTGGTTGGTGGGAGACAGGATAAGGCTGTGTTTGTTCCAGACATCTATGCCAGAACACAGAGCAACTGGGTGGATTCCTTTTTCAAGCAGAATGGTTACTTGGGTAATTAATCTTTATTCTCATAGATAAAATATCTTTCTAAACTAGTTTAGGTAATTGGTCTTACCCTAATGTAGCTAGTGTCTAGAGTGAAGCCTTACAAGAATAAATGGAAATCAATACAGCAGTCAATACCTTTTCTTAAAAGACCATCTTTCTTATAATGATGTGTATTACTTTATCACAAAGAACCATATTTTAGCAGGGAGAACCATACTGCTAAACAGTACCTTTATGTCTCACAAACAGAGTTAGAAATGCTACTTTTATTACTGTTCTGAAAACATTTCTTAGACTGCTCATTGTAGACGTTTCAGAGTTTGACCCACATGGTTGGAGTTTCCAGTCAGGTGTCCGTATTTACAACCAGACTTTGTCTATTAATTAACCAGATAGCCAAGCATGCAGTGCACAGGAAGAACTTTCTCCAAAATAAGATTTGTAGAACTAGAGCGGGTAGCACGAGTGTCCTGATTGGAATGCAAACAAGTCTATTTACCTTAAAGCTGGGCGATGCTGGATGATGGTGTTTTAAAACAGGAGCTATGGGAAAACGTGGACCTGAATAAGCAGAGGAATGTACCCTATGGTCCCAAAGGGCCAGTCCCTAAATAACAGTTAGTCTTGCTGTTTGAAAAGGTTCGGCATAGTTTACCATAGTGCTATTAAGTGTTTCTTTAATGTTGCTTGACTGATAGAGTATCTGTCAAAGTCTTTGAATGTTTTCAGAACGTCTAAGTATAAACTACCAAATAGTTGAAATTCTTTGCTGGTGAGACACTGCATGATTCTATGAGTATATTGGAGTAACTTCAGAAAACAAAGTCTTTTGGCATTGTATATATTGTAAATATTGTTGATGTTACAGTAGAATACTTTGGAAAGATATAATTGCAAAGATAAATTTAATGGTATAAGAATCTGAAAAAATAATTTTTTCCGAAACTCAGCCTGAAGTCATGTCTAGCATTTAATCCTCATATTTCTATTAACTATGTTTAGCTGTAGCTTGTACTGAACTAAATTTTAGGTCAGCATCAACTTGAAGTTGCATTTATTTGTATAAAAACTATGCGTAGCTCTTCTTTTCCTGCTTCCAAAAAAAAATTACCACAAAAGGTAAATGAAGGTACTTAAATGTAACAGACATCTTATTTTATAGAATTTGATGCGTTGTACAGACTTGGCATCCCTGACCCAGCAGGCTACATTAAAAAAAGATACAAGTCTACACAACTCTTATTTCTGAGAGCAGCTTGTGTTGGTCAAGAAATTGTGGATCAAGTTGAAGCTTCTGTAGAGGAAGCCATCACCTCTGGAAACTGGATAGATGTAGCAGTAAGCCATCCTTTTGGTTGTTGTTGGATGTATTTATTTTGTCTTATTTTTGTGTCAGATGATACCTTTTTTAAGCTACACATATGTATAATGTAAATTCCGTGTTGTCAAAGAAGAATATTCAGTTTAAGTAACATAACAAGTAAAAAGGCATAATTTGCCTTTAAATTGTCATGTCAATATTCAGTTGATAGATACCTAAGACTAACTTTCATTTCAAAATTAGTGCTAATATATTCTGCTAGAAAGCAACATATTTCTGTGGAGATGTTTTGGAAAAAAGTGTAAACTGAACTCTTAGGACAGTTTTGGTAAGCAGAGGGATATTAGCCGTTTTGTCCTGGCTAAATCCTAATTTTAGGCCTTACAGCACTACTTTGTCACTTGTAAGGAGGCCTGCTGTTGTTTTGTGTTTGGTGTTACTCATATCTTTTGATCTGCATTTTGAAGAAGTTGCCATGCCTTTTCCCAGAGGTAACACATTCTAGAGCAATGTCGATTTGAGATGTCAGAAGATATAAAATAATGTTTACTCTTAAATTACTAGTTTGATTTTAAAAATGCAATGTGTGCTAAATAGTTAACAGATGTCAAATGAGGTTCCTTTGGATCCTGTTTATCCACATATAAGTATGTCTGTCCATTCTAGAACAGATTATTGAATGTGAATGATTTTGATTTTCTTTACCCTAGACTCTTCTACCCAGTTCATTGTCAATAGAAGATGTTGGGATTTTGCTTCAGCAAGTGATGAGATCTTTAAATAAAAATTCTTCAGGTTTAGTCTTCAGTGACACTATTGTGGTCAGTGAGAAATTTCTAAGCAGCTGTGCTGATCTGTTTTCTGATATGATGCAACAGAAAGCTGAAAAGGTACAGATTTTTTTATCGGTCAAGTCACAATATACATTGAGTGTTGGAGTATAGTTTATGTGACTTTTTGTTTGCTGTTACTATCTCTTTACATCTCATCTGAAATACAGCTTGAGAAGAAGGGCAAAAATGAAGAAAAGGTTTGTATGTGTGATCAGTATAATTTAATGTATACTCAGTTTCACTCAGGGAGTGCCATCACACTAATGGTATGATCAGATGCTGAATTTTGAAGAGAAGAATAAATGTCTCTTCGCGTGTTGCACTTGTAAAAGATGGTGTTCAATTAGTATACTGAAAAATGGCCAAGTGGCTTAAATGTTTCGTATGTATCTTTTGTTGCTGTGTGTATCTTTTTGATATTAAGTGCGTGTTCTTCCTTTTAGGAAATGAAAAATAACCCTGTTAATTTAATCACTGAAGAAGATTTAAAACAGGCTTCTGGTTTAGAGAATTCATATGCTAATAAAAAAGACAAAAAGGATGAAAGAAGAAAAAAAGCAACAGGTAAGGAATCAATATTTAGCTCAAGCCAAAAAAAAAAAAAAGGATGCTTATTTAGCCTTGGAAATATTCAAATGTAAATTTATTATATTTTGTAGTCCATTAGTTGCCTCCATTCCGTTGCTGAAGATATTTAAGAAATAGTCGAACCACTTCTCGTCATTATCCTATTGGTATAGATACATCTGAGCTATGTCCATGAGAACTAATTTCAGATTTAGAAGTGTGGAGGAAGTGTTTCAGTTAGTCCAACACAAGGCAACTGGCATTAGAAACAGGAAATCCATGTTTGTTTATTAGTGTATACGGTATGGTCACGTAAGATTGAGTTTTGCAGCGAGGACTGACCAAACCAGTATGAGCTCTGGGACCTCCGTACCATCTTTTATTACACAATGTAGATACACTCTTGCTCTCCACTTTTCAGGGATCCAGGAAAATGAAAATATTTCTTAAAAGTTTGGAGAAGTTACTTCCAAAATCACTCTGTCTCAGTTGAGAAATGAGGTATTAAGATGGGGTTTTTTTGGAGAATACTGTACATCTTTTCTGAGAATCCCATGCCAGACAATTACCTGTTGTTGGCATGCATAACGGTTATTTGGAGATTCCTTCAGTTTGCTTTAAGGTATGTTCTAGGTTAAATTAATCCCACGCCTTCTCCACTTGTGTAGTGGCTGTTTGGAATAGATCTTAATCTGAGGTAGAATAAAATGTGTGGGTTTAACCCTTTCAAATCTTTCTGGTTTTTAAAATATTATTCAGGCTGAAGACCATATTTTCAGTCCCAAAACTGTATGTGGCTCTTGTGTTGCTACAGCACAGCTGAGCAATCCGTGTTGAAGTCACATGCAGAGTTTTATGAGCTACTGAAAGTAACAGAGCACTGATGCATGTAGCTTAACTGAATATACTCATATGGAAAAGAAAACATTATATTCTGTTCTTAAAAAGGTGTCGTGGTTTAACTCCAGCCAGCAACTAAGCCCCACGCAGCTACTCGCTTACTCCTCCCCAGTGGGACGGGGGAGAGAATCGGAAGGGTAAAAGTGAGAAAACTCGTGGGTTGGGATAAAGATGGTTTAATAGGTAAAGCAAAAGCCCCGCACGCAAGCAGAGCAAAAGAAGGAATTGATTAGCTACTTCCCATAGGTGTATGGTGTTCCCATAGGTCAGGCAGGTGTTCAGCCATCTCCGGGAAAGCAGGGCTCCATCATGTGTAACGGTTACTTGGGAAGACAAACGCCATCACACCAAACATCCCCCACTTCATTATTCTTCCCCCAGCTTTATAATCTGAGCATGATGTCATATGGTACAGAATATCCCATTGACCAGTTTGGGCCAGCTGTACTGGCTATGCTCCCCATCTTCTTGTGCACTTGGTAGCAAAGCACGGGGAGTTGAAAAGTCCTTGATGTCTTAGCAACGACTGAAAACATCGGTGTATTGTCAATATTCTTCTCATACCAAATCCCATACTGTATCCAAAACACAGTACTAATCTAGCTATTAAGAAGAAAACTAACTCTATCCCAGCCAAAACCAGAACAAAGGCCATGACAGTGGCGTGGAATCTAAACTTATTCTTGCCATAAGAAGCAACAGATTTTTCTTGGCCAGAGCTGAAGGAGGAAAACTTAAACTTTAATTGAACAATCATCAGTAGAGTGACTACAGTTTCAAACCCTCTGAGGAGTGAGACTCCACTGAGCATGTACTATGGGTTAGACACACTGGGTTTTTTGTGGACTGTTAGATGTATTACCTTAAAATGATCAACATCCTGGTTTAAGGATTAGATGTTATTATTGTGTAATAGCAGAATGTGGCCAGTGTCACATTGCCTATCTTAAGGTCTGCATGTGACTATATCAATATCTGCTGTTTTAAGTGTAACCTGACGTGGCATAGTGTTAATGCAGTTCATCACAAATATGGATTCTGCCATGTATTGGATTAATGAAAATTTTGAAGATAAGTTCTCTATTTACCGTTTGCAACAGTCTGTTACAAACAAGTATCTGTAGAGGCATGTACTCTTGTAATCCTTTGTGTATGTTACACTCTGTGTATCCTGTTGTCATAAAATGGTTTTTCTGGCAGTAGTCTCTCCTGCTTCATCTGTCTGGGGATAAGATCCTGACTGCAGATTGCAGCTTTTTCTATACGGCTATAACGTGAAATACGGAATGAAGGGAGCTTGTTTCCAAAATAACTAGTATATTGCACAGTTGACTATATATTGAACTAGTTTGCTGTTCCTGCAAAGTAATGCTTAAAAATCCGTCTGTAGCACATAACAGATGCAGTTAGCTGTGTGAGTTGTAGCATATTGGTTTTGTGTTTCCTTTTCTTAAATGGTGGTACTGTTGCCTAATGTAGTTACTTGAAATCTTGGACATATATTTAAATGGAGAAATAACTACTTCCTCAAGACTTAGTGCGTGTGTAGAACCAGCTATTCTGGAGTTTAAATTTGTTTCAAGTGAAAAAAACAAGGGAACAAGCAGTGATAAAGGGAGCAAACAGCAGAGCAGCTTACTTTGTGGAAGGGGACTGTATTCCAAATAGAAATCCTGTCTGCAGTGTGAATACATGGATTACAAGGCCTATGAACTAAGTAATTTATGTTTGTTGTAACTGGAACATCTCGTTGCTTTATAGTCATCTAGGAATAGTTGAAAAAGAATTAGCATTCTAGTTAATTGAATGCACACTTCCAGGAATGTTTTGGATAAATGCTTACTACGTAGAATTCTTTCTCTGAAAGTTAGCAAAGTTACATTATCTGGAATATTTTTGAGTAGCTCAGTTACTTAGCATCGCTGAAAAAAATGCTAAATGCTTACAAAGATGCTATTTTCAGCCAACAGAAATTCTTCCATTACATTACGGACACTGGTATCTCATCTGTTTTCAGCTGGAAAAAGATATTGCTCTTCTTGTTTTAATTATGCATACATTTGATATGATTAGTATTTGTGTTTATTAGTGACACTAGCTTAAACAAAGCTTTGACCCAGTTGCTTTTTTTTCTTAAGAATTAAACTTTTGGCCATAAGATTTTGGAATATGTATTGTAGGTGATGTTTAGAATCAGGTTGTGTTTTTTTAGTTCGGCATTAGCGAGTAATGCAGATAAATTACCATAATACTGTAAACTTTTTTAAGTGCTAGAACTTTACTGTGTACTAAGCAAATGGTTCTCCACCAGAGGGCAGTGGAAGCGTGAGAGGAGGAGGAGGTGGTAATGCTAGAGAGATCAAGATTAAGAAAACCAAGAAGAAAGGAAGAAAGGATGCTGACAGTGATGAAGAGTCACAAACAACTAGCTCAGGTTTGTCTTTTTATTTTGAGCACTATCTACTCATACTGACATGTTTCTATCACTTGCTTTTCCACGTCTCTCTTTTCCCGACTGTATTGGTAAGGTGAAGTAAAATATCAAAGAATTTGAGAACGCTATTCTGTGGGAATTGTATCAATGGGTATGATACTGCTGTCTAAATGAAATGGGCATACCGTATTCACTGAATAGTACAACTTAGTCTATAAAAAAGAGATTTAAATAAGGAAAATGAGAGCAGGTGTTTTGGGTTTTTTTAAATTTGATTTTATGTAGCAAGTGCCTTAGATTTGGGGATTAATATTATACTTGGTTTCTTAACACCTGCTGAATAGCATATGATAAAAGGAGAAGTTCTCATCCAGTTCCAAAGCTTAATTAGCTGAAATTAACAAATCATAGCAGTGAAACAGTACTTAGATGTTTTTGATCATAAGTATAAAATATAGTCAAATATTTTATTATTAATTATTATTAATAACATTATTAATATTTTAAATAAGATTCTTCTGAATGAGCCTTCTACCTATGAGCTAGTTAGCTTTATAACTATGGACTTTGTAATGGAGGAAAGGAGGTGCTTTGAAGGCCTACTCTGTCTCGCTTGTTTTAGATATGTGTTACAGAATGAGTCTGAATTGCTCCTTATTGGTGCCCGTTTCTCTGCCTTTACTGTTAGGAGGAGGAACATGGATGGCTTCCTCAGAAGGAAACACCTACATTGTTAGACTTCTAGCAAATAGTGGCTGGGGAAGAAAAGA